AACACCACCTTTTGGAATGGTACAATGGTACAGTAATCCTCATGAGGAAAAAAGCTTTTTTGTTGGCGAAGGCCTGACCCGCAAGGCAGCGGAACTGAGTTTGAAAACCGCCATCCATTGAGAGCCGGTGTCCAGTTCATCGCATCATATGCCCCTCGGACAGACTCGAACGTCCAAGATGCCCTGTACATCTCGACACTCAGTTTATCCGGTGATCACTGCCACAACGGGGAAGGTGTGTGTGGTTCTTATGCCTCCTCATGGTCGGTTTGGAATCAGGGTTTTTGGCCAACTCCCTTAGATGAACTGCCAATGGTTCGCCAACGCGGTTATAGCCCCGGGATGTTGGCTTTTCGTTCTCTCATTTTCGTGGGAAAAGACTTCCGCAACACGAGAAGGCAGTGAGTAGGGCTTCTTCAGTACAGACTATTCGAGAGGCTTGGTCACATGGGGGCATCTCGCGAAGTACAAGGGAAGGGTGACCAGCTGAAACCCTAGACATCCACCGCCAACCATACTGAGGCTTTTGAAGGCCGCGTTAAACTTCTCTCTCTATTAGTTGACGGCTTCATCCGGCCGTGTACGCTCATGTGTCTTTAGAATTGGTTCATTTTATGCTGCTGCCCAAACAGACGGTCGTGTTTACTCGCCATGCTAAGCATACTAATTCAGTATGTTGTTGATTTATTTTTAGCTATATCCATTTCTCGCCCCCCCCCACCTCCCAAACCAATGACCTCTCATTATAGAATCCATATCCCTGGATTTTGTCTCTCAATCAGAGCGATGTATTTCTTACACGAACCAACTCTTCTATTTCTATATGTCTGTCTTCAAACTCTATTTTTACCATGGTAACCGTAGCTGAGCTGTTCTTACTTCTTATCACGTCAAGCAACAAGAAAAATAAGTATAGACCTCATGCATCCAACAGGGAGAACTTCAAGCCTTTTTTCGTCGCGGTGATGTGATGGAAAAGGCACACAAGGTGAGAGGAGAAGTGACAATAAAATTGCATACCGTAAAAAGATAGCAACCCTAACGTGAGCGATGATTTATCAACTCCGTGCATAGAAGCCCCCAAAAGCCTGAATATGGTTGGGGATGGTGTCCCGGTTGGCGGCTAGTCCTCCTTCCCTTGTACCTTCTCCTATATGGCCAAGTGTCTCATATAGCTTCTTCTGAGGAAATCCTACTCACTACCGTCCCGGGTTGCGGACGCGTTTTTCCACACCCAAAATGAGAGGACGCAAGCTGACCGAATATCCGGGACTACAGGTGTTGATCAAACTCGTGCAATATCATTCTTATTTTGGAAATAGATTTGCAGTCTCCAATGTCCTACTTGTATATTGATGACTGTGGATAAATTGTATTTATTCCTAACATTATCTCTCACATCTATGTTCTTAGTTCTCTCCTATCATCGTTCGAATTAGCGTGACCTTGAGTGTTACGATAAAATTTGTAGTAGTTTGGAAATGACAGTTGACATTTCAAAAATATTCTACACAAAATAACATGAGAATCATTCTTTTTAATAAATGATTCCTGTTCCATGAACATTTTTATTGAGTTAAGCAAACGTATTCTAAGTTGTTCATATATATTTTTGATTTTTGTGCACAGTAAATAAAAAGATTAATGAAAATATTCTAGGTTAAATCAACTGATAAATTATTTGGCTATAAACTACTCACACAATACTGAAACACCTGAAATCATATTCCAATGAGCATAAAATTTGATTTTCAAAACTGGACCTTGGTGAACTCCATTCTAAAGCGATTGCCTTCAGTGCTCAAAAATGAAGAAAGGCAAATGAAACATGAACGAAATGAGAGTACAATACTGTTTGAAGTCTATGAATCAGTTTCGTAAATAAATTCTAGTTACATTTTCTACAATTACTTTGTTATTTTACAACTACTGCATCGTCAAAGTCGCGAAATCATACATTTTAATGGCATGTGGCTAATACAAACGAGTACATATGTGGGTAGTATACCAGATATGTTGCCTTTGATGTAGAGCAATGTCATGTTCAATCCCATTAGTGAGGCTGGAAAAATGAAGCATTGAGAGGAACAAATTTAATGAACATCAGAATTTTGCTCAAGTTCGGTCAATACCTGTATAATCAGATGGATGAACCACTGAGGGCGATAGTTATCTCAATAAACGAGTTACCCGATCCATGCATCGTGTTCAGAGAAGGAGTTTTTCCATGATCCAACCACTTGGAATCATACTCTTCTCAAGAGCAAGATTATTGAGTTGATTTTCACTTGAATGTTCTCCCCCCCCTCCCAGATACTTTTCCCCTTACAGTAAATCACTGACCATAGGATTTACCCCTTTCGTCATAAATCACTTTGTGTGTATTTAGAAAAAAACCACAACGGAAAAAAATTAAAAACAATATTTCTGTGCTGTAGATTAACCGTGTGCAGACAGCAATCGAACTCTGTGATTATTCTCAGAGTATAGAACATAATATGTTCGTGTGTGTTTGTGCGTAACAAGTGGCCCCGGTAAGCGCCGATTCATCCTGACGCCACACCACGATCGTTTATCTATGTCTCACCCATAGATCTTCTTTTATTGGCTTTCTCCTTATTGGTTAATGACAAGGTCATGGTCAAGGTCGACCAGGTTCAGTGATCGATTATGAATGATAAAAAACATCTGTTGTTCGATAATTCCCTCGCGTGGAGTATTCTTCTCCGTTAGTTTGCTAAATAAAACAAGATGTCAGTATCAGTTTTTACAACCATGCACTTTTGTGCGCCGGTTTTGGTTTTGCATTTGGATGAAGGAGTAAAGAGACAATAAGAATGTTCAAATCAATTTCAGTGCGAAGATAGAGAATTCACACGGAGGCTAAAGTGGCAAGGATGATGAGTAGATGTATAGGTGTCACTGTTTTCGACACAGCCCTATCACTCTAACCACCGATTACAATAATCCCGGGGTCCGTGTATGGGGAAAGTTGCTAATCATATGGATGCTTTGTGCTACAAACAAACAAGTGTAAAATATTAGGTAGCGGAAAACCACACAGCAATACCCATCTATGTTATTTGTACGTGCGTATTCTGTCAATTTGGAATTTCGTATTTTTTCAACCACTGCTAACCGGTCAAGTATAATTTGTTTTTTTTTTGCTTTTTTTCAACTATGTACAACCTTTCTTCGCCAAAAATAAGTAATATCATTCAGTGGCGTAGAACAATTGCACCGGCACCGGAACTGCAAACATCTAGGGTTCTTTCCACTTCTCATCTCAGATTTGTACAATATGATCGAATTCCGATCCATGATCCACTCTCTCTTTGCTTATTGCAGGTTCCAAAAAAGGAAGAACCACCGAACTTTGATTTTCTCGATCTGGAGTTCAATCGGTTTGGGAAAAAGAACGAGGTACAATTCTCCCCGAAGAACAGTCGCTTTTCTCGCTTACTGAAGCTGCGTGATGCTATCACAAAAGCCTGATTGCGTGATGCGGACAAAACAATGAATGAATGACTGTGCGATTGTTTAGAGTACAGTGTGATCCATCAGGAATATTTGGTAGGCTCTTAACTCGCACATAAAATGACGAGTGAAAAGATGCGCGTTTTTCCCTGCTCGACCGGTCAAACTGAGGTTAATGGTGTAAATTATGTATCAGTATTCTTAATCAACTAACTATATATGATAAAATTCGTGGGAACTTAAGTTGCATTGTGTGAAGTTTGAATAGGATATCCATACGTAAGTTTCTGGTAATATGAGGTTAGAACGATACTCCACCGTAAATTACTGCTCCAGCATTTGTGGCAGACAATGGATAACCTTCAGTGTCACATGACCCTTGAAAGTTGCGAGTTTTCTTCCCTAACTAAACATGTTTGTAAAGGTATGAGATTAACTCTCCGTGATTGTGAATGGCCTAATCATGTGAACGGCCTTCCATCTTGTTCAAGAATCTCGTGTATTTCGCTGATCGGTGCATCAGCATTAGTAGGCCTCTGAGTTACAATGGCACTACCTTCAGCGAGAGAGAAAGGTGTTTGCAGCAGAAACATATCAACCACTGCGAACAGCCCCGACATTTCTCCAACTAGACTACTACCACCACCAACAACAACAACTTGAGTTGTCCGCATTTTCATTTCCCTTTACAATCCTTATTTGGTTGAAACTTTCTTTACCAGTGCAGTTGTCCATTTAATGGAGAGTTAATATGTAATATCTTTGTTGTTCAATGAGCGGATCGGTTGCTCACAATCTTTTCGTGAATTAAAATCACGTGAATTGATTGAACTCAAACAATTATTTTATTTCCCCTTTGAATGCACACACACACACATTGACAGGTGCGCAAAAAGTTGATCGATAACGAGGATGGCGTGCAGCAAATCACTGATTTCATCAAAGTCACCGATGGCGTAAGTTGCTTATTCATTCACTGATTTTCCGTCTACAGACACATACGTACATTGCCCCACGGAACTATGCCTACACTCGATTGCCAAACACCGATTTCGGGTACGTTTTGACGTATGATTTTTCCCCGAACTATCGTTTGCTATCCGTGTTGTTAATGCACCACGAGGACGTAGAACTCTTTGCGATAGACATTTCACCTTTCGAATTTTGAATTCAATCTACTGTATGCGTGATCGTTTCGTCCGCGTCTGAGTTCACTTTGTCATTCAGGGATTTCGGGGTGTACCGGACTGTCGTCCAGTGGTTAAATGACTCGTAGATACGAACCCCAAGTGCGATTCCAGATAACGNAACGAGAAGTACAAAAACAAACACCATATCTCAAATTGTGGGCCAATTCGGTCTCCACGGTACAAGAACAAAATAAAAAACGGGTCAAGGCGCAGAACAAAGCACCTGCGGAGCGGTCACCAAAACGTATGCGAACTATGCACAGAAACGGGATAATTTAAGGGATAGAAACACCAATCGCAAGTGCTCGATAATGAAGCGCAGTCAGTGGTCAATGCATGGCACGCAAACGGTTTATCGGATCCTACGGAATAAAGCAGTCCAATAAGCAAATGAACCGAACGATCAAATATGAAGGTCAAGTAAAGTGGACTG